ATAATAATAATAATAATAATAATAAATAGTTATTGAAACGTGAACCTGGTCAAGACTGGGTTGATGAGAGAATGGATGAAGGGGAGAAACAAAAATTGAGGTCCCTAGATTGTATGATGTGACTTCAATCTAAAGCCCATCTAGGTTGATAGGACTCATTGTTGCTATCTTTTATGTGATTTAAAAAAAAAAAAAATCTAATTTACAGTGGGGTTTTGAAAAGGTTCTCAAGGCTCAGAGGTTTGTTGTTTCAGAACAAAATGTGGATTTTGTGAAGGAGCTGAGGTCAGTGGCTCTACTACGTCTGCCTCCAAGCAATGAGAGGGATGTGACGACTTTCAAGGCATAGGCTCAGCTCTAATGGCTGATAACTGCCCTGGAGAATACAGTTTCTTCTTATGGGGTTATACATTCAGTAGGACTTGAAATTGCATGAAGAATAATTTAAAGTCAGTTATTTTTAGATTACTGATGATTCCTGTCCTGGAATCCAAGTCACAAAAGCAAGCTTGTGTGTTCTTAACGCTGCCTCTGACATTTCTTCAGTGCCTTGTCGATGGATTTATGTTGCCTGCTAGTGGTGTCTGGACCGTGATACCAGAATCAGCAGTGGTGGTAAGCCTTAAAGACTTCAGAGGGTTGGCACAAATTAGAACAGTATTGTTTAGTCTTCAAGAAGCTCAAGTTTTTTCAAGATACAGCTTAAAGATGAGCAGCATGACAAGGAGCTAGCTTACAGGTTAAGACACCCAAGTGAAAATGTTGTTAAATGTGAGTCTTGAATCAATGGCAATAATCTCTGGAAGGTGGAAGAGACAATTTGCTGGGCTAAGGTCAGTGTTTTTACTGGAAATTTGCTAAGAGGCCTGAAGGGAGTGGTGGTTTGGAAGCCACGTGTGCAGGGATGAGAAAGCTGCACGGTACTCACGATGACACAGAGCAGCATCAAAGGAGCTTTGGAGGTGGCTGATGAAGGATATTACTAAGTGGCAAATAAAAGGAAAGTGCAGTGTGAAGCTGAGCTCTGCAGAGAACTGGAAGAATGAGAAGATTTGCAGACTTATGCTACTGTGCCCAAAGTGAAAGACACTTCCCCCTTGCCATGTAGGAGGTGGAGAGAGCTCGGGCTCTTCAGCCTGGAGAAGAGAAGCCTCAGAGGGGATCTTGTCAATGTCTGTAAACACCTGAAGTGTGGGGGCCAAATGGATGGGGCCGGGCTCTTTTCGGTGGTGCCCAGTGACAGGACAAGGGACAATGGGCAAAAACTGGAACACCAAAAGTTCCAGACAAACCTAAGGAAAAACTTCTTTACTGGGAGGGTCTTTACTGCGTCGCTCTGCAAATGTCTGTTGCCTGGCGTGTGTTTTGACAAAACAACGTATGACTGTGGGCTCCTGCTGCAGGTCAGGGGTGTTGTGTCCCTGGGATGCAAAGTGCTGATCTAAGGTAAACCCACGTCTCCTGCTCAGATTTGTTCTGAAGTTGGTTTTCCAGCTTTGCTCTGGCAGACCTTACAGCAGGTCAGTTATCAGCTAACCTGCTGCTCCATTGTGTTGGCTGAGGGGAGCCGATAACGTGTGGTTGACAGATAGTTGGTACCAACTTTGTGTTGTTTGCTCTGCCTGGCCTGACAGAAGTGTCTGTCTGTGCTAGGTAGGTGTTTCCATATTGTGCAGGACTGTTGATTGTCACAGAGCTGTAGCTGAAGCACTGCTGTTCTCCCCAGACTTCTGATTTCTGAAGTTCCTCCTTGGAAGAGAGCCATCAGGGCAGGCAGCAAACAATGCACTGACTTCTAGACTCTGTTTCTTTTGCAAGAGGTTTGCTTTAGTCAATGGGTGAAGGATTTTTATTCAAATTACCCTGCCTGCCCTGCTGATAAGACATGCTAGCGGTTAAAATCCTGGTTTATATCTTGGATTAGAATAAGTGTTGCTCTCCTGCTGCCAAGAGGCACAGTGCCAAGCAGTGCCAAGTGTTACTGAAGAGTCACTGTGACAATATTTTTACTTATTCCTGGAATATGTCCGTCCACCACTGACCTAAAAATACACAGCAGTAAGATCATCGGGGTTAGCTCTGTAAAAGATCTCTCAGATCTTTAAAGCTCATCCTGTTACTGGGATGTTGAGGTCTTCAGAGATTTGAATTTCATTGTCATTTGGGGGTGGGGAGAAGTGACATTTTCCTTTTTCAGCATTGACTATCCCCCCCCAAGCTATGTAAAAAAATTTCTTGAGTTAAAGCTTTTACTTCTGAGTGTGCTGCAGTGACAGTGATGCATTGATAACGCTATTTTGATTCCAGCGTAGGCGATTTTGTTTTCTGTTCTCTATATGTTTTCAGTTTTCACATATGGAAAAAACCTTTTCTGCAGATAGTTCCTTCAAAAAAAACACATCATGGTCTGGAAAGCCCTTTATTAGTTAACTAGATTTCTTATTTGCTAGCTAGACTTGTAACTTGTCAGTGTAATTCCTTATAGTGGATAATATTGAGACTTGAAATGAGCAAGCCAAAGAGATAATGAAGCAGCTGACGGATATATTTCTCTTTGAACAGGAGGTTCAAACAGGAGGTTCATTGAGGGCCAGCTGAGCAACAGGCAGAAAGCATCAGGGTGATGTCATAGGTGTCCTGCATAATTAAAGAAAAATTCCATGGGGTGATTTTTTTCCAGCTTATGAACTGTTAATTTGTACGTTTCAGAATTTTGACTCGGACATCAGCAGCGTGGGGATAGATGGGTGCTGGCAGGCTGACAGCCAGCGAATCCTCAACGAGGTGATGGTGGAGCACTTCTTTCGGCAGGGCATGTTGGATGTGGCTGAGGAGCTTTGTCAGGTAAGGATAAGTGTGGATGGCGAATGTTATTGATTATGGAAAATTATGCTTTGGGTTAGCGTCCTTATTTGAATGTTAATGTTCCAGGTGAATATTTAAACTGTTAGAAAAACAGCAGCTTAATCCTGTGTTTTCTTATGCATCAACTAAAAATTGCTTTTTGTTTTTTTTCCCCCCAGGAATCTGGTCTATCAATAGATCAAAGTCAAAAAGAACCATTTGTGGAGTTGAATCGGATATTGGAAGCATTAAAAGTTAGAGTTCTGAGACCTGCGTTAGAGTGAGTCTACTCAGGTTTCTTTCTCCCTTTTTGTGAATTCTTTTAACAAATCCTTAGGTTTTCATAAAGTATATTTTGATGTGTCCCCTTTTGTCCTTGGTCTAGTTACTGAGTGAGCCCCTACCCTCTCCTTTTCTCCCCTCAGTGTCCTTCCCCATGGGCAGTACTTCACTAAGGCTCTCTTTCTTACATTAAGGATTAACTTGATTCATTTGTCATGCTGGTTTAAAGTTTTAGGAAGAAACATCACTTAGAAACAGTTGTCTGCCATGATGGTATGTAGCCTTATAGTGAATCATCAGAGAACCTTATTTTAAAAGGTCCAATTCTGAAGGATAACAGGATTTATTAAAGATATTGGGTACTACCACATCTTTTTGGCTTCACTAAACCTTTGGGATGAGCAGAGCTTGACTCAGGATCACAGTTCTCACTTTTCCTCAAGTCACTGTCCCTTTCCAGATAAGGGACCACAAGGTTGGGAAGAGGGAATGAAAGGACAGGTATGTTCTTTGCAGGCTGCTGCAACTACCAGGTAGGTGCTGATTAATGCTAGGTGAGGGGTGTGTCCCTCTCCTCCACAGGAAACATCTCTGCGGTGCGTCAGCTGAGAGCCTGGACTGACAGTGAGATCTGATAGTGAGATTTCTTCTGAACAAAATGATTCTGCTCACAGAACTCGGTGGATAATGCTGAGAACGCTCAGATGAAAACAAAGTCTGGAAATATTTGAGGTCTATCAGTCAGCCTTAAACCAGGACATTTTCTTGATCTTAGTAGACTTGACAACCAATAGACATGTGAGCTGCTGCTAGAAGTGACAGTGAAGAGGGAAAAGTAATGAAATATCTCATGGGCTGCTGTTTTGATATCCAGTAGCAGATATATAACTCTGCTGTACCATTTCAGAACAGCTTTTATTTGAAAAACAAGAAAACACCAAAAAAAACATCAGCCAGTGTTTCTGTGGGGTTTTTTTGTTTTGTTTTGGTTTGGTTTTTTCCCCCTAGGTTGTGAGAGCTTTGGTAAGCTCAGACTGGTCTCAAAAGTGATCTCAAAAGTCAGGAAAAAAAAAAAAAAAGCTTTGAAGTGAGCTTTTAAAAGCAGAAACAATGAAACAAAGCAACTTCAAAATTTCTGTTTAATTCCAGAACATAATTCATAAATTTAAAATACCTTTGTTGCATTATTCAGTTGAATACATTTTCATACCAACAAGCACTTTCCTCTTCCCTTTAACGTGATCCAACGTGGGTATGTAAATTCAGAGGTCATTGGCATCTAAACTAATTGCAGAGATACTCTGATATTCAAACCATGGTGTTTTCAAACCATGGTGTTTTAAACTAAATCCTGGGTTATGCCTCTGGGCCATGCAAAGTTTGACCTAATAGTTTGTCTTTGAATATAGTTGCTCAGGTGGAAAGCTCAGGTGGCTTATTGCTCTTGAATTGGCCAATTAAAGGAGAGCAATGTTGAAATGCCTTATGTTAAACTGAAACAGGATGTATTTCTTGTAGTTCAAACAGCAACAGAGCTGTTGTGAAGGACACTGTGGAACAGTAGCTTGCTGCTCCAGCCATCCTCTTGAAGCCACTAAATTCATTTTATCTCCAGTTAGCTAAAACTTCTGCCTTTCTCATTGCTACTTAGTCCTGTCTTGTAGTTGCTGCAGTGTGTTAAATATTTTTCAAACAACGGAGAAGGCCCAGTCCTCATTCAAAGGAACTCTTATTCCCAAGACAGCTGAATGGACAGAGGATAAGGGTGTATTGTCAGCACAGTTTCTGTGCTGCTCTCCCGCCCCCACCCTCTCTCATTTCTGTTTATGATGGTTTTTTTCTGTTTAAACTCTTTCAGTGCAAAAGCTATCTGCTTCTCTTTGCCTGCTGCTGGGCACAGAGAGTCCTTATTTGTAGTGATGCTTATGTAAAAAAACATGGTTAGTGAGGATGGTAAAAATGTGACAGAACCATACAGTTTAGGAGGTAACTGGTGTCTTAAATGCCGGGTTATTCCGCAGAACTGCTGATGCTACTGACTGTATTTCCCAGCAGATGTGGGTGTTCAGGAGGAGGGTTTGAAACTGCTTGTGGAGGGATTGCCCCTGTGTGAGAGGAGCTGGGAGGGGTGGCATTGTGCTCTTTGGGCAAAAAGCTGAAAAGTGGCTAAAATTGGCATCAGTAAATACAGCTTCAGGGGTGCATAAAAGCAGTCCCAAACTAGGCTGCTACAGTGGGGTTGGAGCAGAAAGCAGGTGTTACACAAGGATAATTAATTACAGTGTCATGAACCAGGAAGGGGAGTATAGCAGGGTTTACCCATGCAAAATTGCAGAAGGCTGGGAGGAAAACAATAACCAGTCTCTCTGGCTCTGCCAGTGCTCTGCAGCTGGTGCTCGGCTTAACTCGGTGTTGGAAATGAGGCAAACACGGATGGCTCCTGGTCACTGCCTTCAAAAGGGATTTGGCAGATTGACCTTTCAAACAGACTTTCAAAGCCCTGCTGTACTGATAGAGAGAAGTTAGTATTCGTATCTGATTACAATTAGGGTCTTATTTTTTAATTTTATTTTTGTTTGTTTGTTTTTTTCAGGTTTGGTTTTTTTTACTAATACTAATTCCAACACTTACAAATACTACACTTCAGAATTAATTTTAGTACAACTGGCCAAACACTTCTTTTCTCTTTCTGTGAGGTGTGCAACTTGACTTTGTAGATACCCAGTCTGGCCCTGCACCCTAAGTAGTGTAATCTCTGTACCTCAGCAGGATCCCATTAATTTTCAGTGTCTTTTCTCATTGTAATTTAGTGATGGGGGAGTGAAATCCATAGTTTTTTTCTGGAAGGATTCTGGCCCAGCTGGGTCTCCATGTGAAGATCTGGTGGGAATGACTTACAGCTTCAAAGCTTTTGACTGTAATCTCCTGGGGAAGGGAGACATTCTCTTATGTCTGTGAAGCAGCAAGGTGGACAGGTCCTGATATTTGCTGGGACCTTTGGGGTATGGTTTAAACTTAATTTAATCTTTGCAAGGCTCCCATGTGGGGAGCTAGAGGAGAGCTCTGTCTACCTGTGCTTTGAATCATACACTGCTAACTAAAAAATTCAGGTGGATTTGAGTCTCAGAAGTGAAAACACTCTAAAAGTATCATTTTGAGAGGAGATAGGAAGACAGGTGTTGTGATTACTAATGATTTTGGGTAGTGGTAGTGTGTGGGTTGAATGTTTTATACCTCACTTGTTGGTTTTTTGTTTTTCCATTAGAAATAGGAACAGCACATCCTAGACCAAACACCTCAGACCTTGCTTCTGTGGCTGCTTTTTTCCAGTAGATATTTGTTCTGCCACTCAAAGAGCTAAAAATGGAAAGCCTGCCTAAAAGTTAATTTGGAAAAATAGACTCCATCTCAGCAAGATAAAGTACCATATCATGTGGTTGCAAATATTGACAGGGAGAGGATGGAGGCTCTTTTGATGCCTCCCTTTTCATAGAATCACAGAATGGTTTGGGTTGGAAGGGACCTTAAAGATCATCCAGTTCCAACCCCCCTGCCATCAGCAGGGACACCTTCCACTAGACCAGGTTGCTCAAAGCAACTTTTGATACAGTACAGATTAATATCTCATTAATAGGACTGTGGACTAATCTTATCATTTATTGATAATAGGTTTTAGTCTTTCAGCTGCTTATTGATCTGTGATTGTTAACTTCAGGCTCTTGGTTTTTTAGCCAGAAGTGAGCTTTATTGCCACTGTACGTGGTTTAAACTGGGGGGAAAAAATCCCCACCCCATGGTTAGAGAGTGTGCCCTTCCCTCCTGGTGGAGATTACAGTGTTAATTTGAGGCTACTCATCTGAAACTGCTTGAAATTAGGGACATTAGGGCTTGTTCTTAGTTCAAAGGCTATGTGTTCCACTGTTCCCTGCTGAAAGGTTCCTGCTGGCATTACAAAGCCTTGCCAGTAAAGTCAGACTCCTGACACTTTCACCATAACAGATTGAAAGTAGATACTTGCTCATTAACTCTACATCTTAATGGAGAAGGCTGACTTGCATTGAAAGCTTTACCAGTACTGTAAGAATACTTTAATTTTCTTATTTTAGTATTGATTGAAAAGAACAGAAGCCTCACATACCCCTTCTTTTTAAGGAACAGAGACTACCTCACTTCTGAAAGTGAAAAGCTCTTTGCTTAATGGGGCCCCTACAGTGAAAACAGTATAACTAATTAACACTAATGAGAAACAGATGTACTGAAGAACATTGAAACTCAAAGTTCTTAAGAGAAAGATTGGATTGATTCAGGCCTGGGTAAATTGAATTAAGGGTGAGGGGAAACCAAAATACAAAAAACCCAAATCAAAACAAACAAACAAGAAAGGGATGGATAAAATCTAAATAATAAAATAACTTTTTATGAAATGCTTTGAAAATTCCAGTTACTTTTAGTTGGTGTGTGTTTAAGAATTCTTCCATGTTATTTGGGAGCCAAACATTAGTGTTGTCATGATGAATGAGACCCAGAAAGTGAGAAATATTTTTATTGCCCAAGTTGAAAATAACGCAGAAAACAAAGTTTAAGCAGCGTAAAGAATGTTATTTAAACTGATTTCTCTTCTTCCTATTCCCCATTGTAAAGGGCTTGATAATGTCTATCTTCAGGGCCTCCATAAATACAGTTCCCCTCTCAAGGGCAACATACACATGCATAGAAACATGGTGGCTTAGAGAAAGATTTTGGTGACTTTTGGTGAACGAGGAGGTTGGAAAATATGTTCTTGAAAAGCTTGGTCAGATTTCTTCAACATGCAGCTGAATGCTATCTGTAACTGTTAAGATTCAGCGTGATTTTAATCCAATTACAGTAGTTCTAGCTATTTCTACCCTCTCTTGTGCCTAATTCAGTCTTCCCTTCCAGCCAGTTAAGTGTTGAATTTTGCAGAAGTTAACCTGTACAGCAGCACCAGAAGTACCGTTGTTCATTTGTTGTGTGCCCTGTGTAGCTCCACGTCTAGGTCTTACCATTTTCTGTGCTCTGTATAGACTCATAGAAATTCAGGGAACAGTCATATTCTCCTTGAAATAGGTGGTTGATAATTGTAATAATTTCATATGATGTAGGCTGACACTTAATTACTCTTGTGTCATGTCCCATTGTACCTCCTAATTTCTCTTAGGTGGGCGGTATCCAACAGAGAGATGCTTATGGCACAGAATAGTTCGTTGGAATTTAAACTGCACAGATTATATTTCATTAGTTTATTGATGGGTGGAACAGCAAATCAAAGAGAAGCACTTCAGTATGCGAAAAACTTCCAGCCGTTCGCCCTCAATCATCAGAAAGGTGAGTTTTCCATCACATTAAGGGGATTTAAAGCACTTGGATGTGGCATCTCATAATAAAATATAAATTGTGTTCCAGACATGTTTTACTCCATTATTTTCATTTTGTTAGAGGCTTCTTATTTTTGTGTTTAACGTGTATAACCTGGATCCTTACAATCTGAATTAACTCTGAATTACATGGACGAGTTAGAACAAGTCTAGAGGAGGCCACCAGGATGATCCGAGGGCTGGAGCTCCTCTCCTATGAGGACAGGCTGAGAGAGTTGGGGCTGTTCAGCCTGGAGAAGAGAAGGCTCCAGAGAGATCTTATAGCGGCCTCCCAGTACCTGAAAGGGCTACAAGAAAGCTGGGGAAGGACTTTTCATAAGGGCAGTTAATGACAGAACAAGGGGAAATGGGTTTAAGCTGAAAGAGGGGAGGTTTAGATGAGATATTAGGAAGAAGTTCTTCACTGTGAGGGTGGTGAGACACTGGAACAGGTTGCCCAAGGAGGTTGTGGATGCCCCCTCCCTGGAAGTGTTCAAGGCCAGGCTGGATGAGGCTTTGAGCAACCTGGTCTAGTGGAAGGTGTCCCTGCTGATGGCAGGGGGGTTGGAACTGGATGATCTTGAAGGTCCCTTCCAACCCAAACCATTCTGTGATTCTATGATAACTCCTTTTTTTTTTTTTTTTTTAATGAGAGTACAAAATTGTGTTTTAATATGTCTACACACTTGCTTAAATTTAAGGTTTTTGACTCTTTTAAATAATATCTAGATTACATCTAGAACAGACCTGCTGCCAGGGTAGGGTGTTAAAAATGCACAGAAACATTTTTGAAATAGTCATCTGCTATTTTTTGCTGTGTGGGGTAATACAAAAGACAAATGGAACTTTTGGAAAATGGAGAATATGTGAGTTAAGTAAACCATCTTAAATTAAATCCAGTAAAGCCTAATTTTTTAGGGTATTGTGTGTGTAAGAAAACATACCAAAAAGTGAATGTGTTTTAAGTAAATTAATAGGCAGCATGCCACGCTTGTAGAGGGGCACACGACCCCCCAGTCTATCCACAGTGGCCTGGAGCTCTTATAGCTGTAGCTGTTTGTTCTGTGAGGGCTGTAATTGTATTTTGTAGAGGTGAGGATGGTGTTATTGATACGGTTCATCTGCCTGTTTTCCACATCAGAGCTGAAGCTGTAGGTACTGCCTTTTATTTGTAGCGTAAAATAACTAACTATTCCTCCTGAAATAACTAACTGTTCCTGGTCCCTCACAGATATTCAGGTTTTGATGGGTAGCCTGGTGTATCTGCGGCAAGGTATCGAGAACTCTCCGTACGTTCATCTATTGGATGCAAACCAGTGGGCGGACATCTGTGACATCTTCACAAGAGATGCCTGCGCTCTGCTGGGGCTCTCCGTTGAGTCACCTCTCAGTGTTAGGTATGCTGGCTTTCACTTCTTTTTAAGACTGGGCACATAGCATTTTGGTCTCTACTTTTTGTTGAGGACAAAAGAAATGGCTTTTGAGAAGCAGTCTCATCTGGCTTGTATTGAGTAAAGAGTATGGTTACGATTAGCTCTTAACAAGATTTGAAACGATTAGAAATCAGAGGTTTCCAGTGTGCTGTGCTTTACCCTGCACTTTCACAGCTCAAGAAGCAGCATTTGTGGATGGGATTTGGCTTCTGTAGTTTAGACACTGGTGTGAAAGATGAGGATGGCAATCAGCCAGTTATTCCCACAGCAAATGTGTGAAAACTGTCCCTGCTGTTTAACTGCAAAAAAAAAAAAACCCAACCCAAAACTCTGGCCATGATTCTGTCAGCATTTGATCATCTTGGTATTTAATCTCCATATTACTTTACCTGTCTTCTTTCTCCCTATTAGAACAATGCTTAAGAGTTATGTTGTGATATCAGCTGCTAAAATGTCCAAATTGTTTTCTGGACTTAATTTGCAAAGAAGAAAGAGGCATTTTCAAGCTTGGGAGCTAATCTGACAAAATGCAAATCTGTAGGAGGCTGTTGGAAATGGGAAGAAAAAACCAATCCAATCCCCTTCTAGCTTCTCTGAAGATAAAACAGATTAACTGCTATTTAGCCTTTGGATGTCAGTTCCCCTGATATACTTGCCTGATGTTCTCGTTTTCATTTCAGACATTAAATAGGAAATAAATTACATGTCTTTCTGGGCTAGGTTTGGTACTTAGCAGAAGCTTCACTACCTCTTTTGTTTGTTTGTTTGTTTGTTTTGTTTATTTTTTTAAGTTTACTGTGTGCATGTTACTATGACTAGACTTCTGTGCTTAGTTTAGAGCTCTAAAAATTGTCAAGCCTTCTGCTTCTCCTGTTTGCACCTCTGTCACAAAATACAGCAGAAGCAACAAAGGGAGCACTTTCAGATTAATTGTCTTTCTACAACAAACGTTACAAGTTTCAGTTTGAAGGTTTTACAGAGATTTAAAACTTCTATCTCTGGTTTTTGCTTTTAATCTTTTTCCTGTTTCAGCCAAATTAACAGCAATTTTTTACACTTTAATTACTCATGCATTGATGCTGTAATATGGTTTTCAGCACAAATGGCCAAGAGATTTTTGGTGAAGTGGAAAATCCCTGTTATTGATGTTTGGATTGGTTGAACACTTGCTTTGCACCTGGTGTGAAATTGATTGCACTGAAATATATTTACTGTATAGGTGTTACCGATGCTCTTGTCATAAACAAGACTGTTCTAAACTACCGTGACCTTTGAGCACTGCAAATCCTTTAGAAATTAAACCAGCTTGAAGTTAAATCCCTGCTATAAAATATGTTGCTTTCTGGAACATGAGTAGTGGTCACCTTTTTTTTTAAGGCTGATTGGTTTTTCCAGCATGTATCTAATCCTGTAAAGGTCTCATGGCTTGAGTTACTGCCTTGAGTCAGTGGGAAAGCTCTTGTTGTACTAAAGAGGTCACAGTTCAGGGTCCTGAAGGACTACAGGACACCATATGCATTTATTATTTGCTTGAGTTGTTTTACTCTTAAAGGGCTCTTCCAGAGATGTCTTCATACAAAAGGATTAAAGCAATTATGCTTTTGTTTCTACAAATACTATTTGTCTAAACAGTCCAGAGGGTCAGCACAAGTTACACTCAGTACTGAAATAACAACAACAAAAAAATGGCCAGTTGGAGGTGAGGGATAGGATTTTTTTAACTGGACAACAGATCCATAGGTTTCAGTCCCATCTCTCTCAAGTACACTGGCCAGAATGTTCCTGCAGAAATGTAAAAACAAGTATCTGGAGGGGCAGAGTGGAAAGGAAGATCGTGACTTCTGTAGGCAATAAAACTTGCACAAATAGTAAAATAATCTGCCAAAGAAACAGAGCAGGCTGATATCAAGGTCAAATCCTGTTTCTACTGCTGCTGATTTCTAGGCCTATAGTACTGTCATTAGACTTAAATCCATCAAAACATCTGTTAACTTGTGTAAACTCAGTGTCATGCTTTCTTTTGTAACATAGTGAAATATTTCAAAATCATGTGGTAAGTTCTGGTAATGGGTAACTCCCAGAGCAGGCTGAACTGTTGGGACACAGACCTTGTTCAGCTGTATACTGCCATTCTTATTACAGGCTGTGGTTTCCTTCTTTCACTTGCCTTCCAATGTTTTTTCTACATTTCTTTTTTTCATTTAAGGTGGAAGGTTGAAAGACATGTTTCTTTACATGGTAATTAGGTATAATTAAAGGATTATGGGTTATGTGTACGTGTGGGTTACATGGAAACTCTTAGGCTGCAGGTACTCTTCCATAATTAAGAGAGCAACTACTTATACAAGCTATCATGATGTCTTCCGCCTGTACAGCTCAATATCAAAGTAGGAGGTATAGAAAATAATTTAATTATAAGACTCAGAGTAGGGATTAACTGTTGTTTTCAGTCCAGAATGTAGTACGAGAGGGCCCTAGCATAAGATGCAGGGTAACTGACAACCTGCCCCAAAACTCTTGCTTGTTATGCTTGAAGGGAGCTTAAAAGTACAGACAAGAACTGAATGTAGAAGTACAGTGCTCTTGTGTCCCAGCTAACCTTTAAAGTAGAAATATGAAAAATGTTGGTTTCCTAACAGGCATCTTATGTTAACATTTCTTTTTTCTGCAGTTTTTCAGCAGGTTGTGTAGCATTACCAGCTCTAATTAATATCAAGGCAGTTATTGAACAAAGGCAGTGCACAGGTGTTTGGAACCAGAAGGATGAACTACCGGTGAGTTGATGCTGAGCTGTCCCAGAGCAGATTTCTAATGGCAAATGCTGTTTTCAGATTTCTTTTGTACTGAATGTTAAGGGAATCACAGACTCACACAGAATCACAGGGGTTGGAAGGGACCTCAGGAGATCATCCAGTCCAACCCCCCTGCCAAAGCAGGTTCCCTACAACAGGTTGCACAGAAAAGTGTCCAGGTGGGTTTTGAACATCTCCAAAGAAGGAGACTCCACACCCTCTCTGGGCAGCCTGTCCCAGGGCTCCGTCACCCTCACAGTAAAGAAGTTTTTCCTTAGGTTTGTCTGGAACTTCTGGTGTTCCAGTTTGTGCCCATTGCCCCTTGTCCTGTCACTGGGCACCACTGAAAAGAGCCCGGCCCCATCCATTTGACTGGTATTTACAGACATTGATCAGATCCCCTCCCAGTCTTCTCCAGGCTGAAGAGTCCCAGCTCTCTCAGCCTTTCTTCATACGGGTGATGCTCCAGGCCCCTCATCATCTTCGTGGCCTCTGCTGGACTCTCTCCAGAAGATCCCTGTCCCTCTTGAACTGAGGAGCACACTTACACACGGTTGCCACCTCCAGCAGCTTCTGGGTTTGGGATTTCCTACTGTACAGAGACCTTGGGGTCTCGCCCCAGGCCGTGGATGTGGCTGCTGGTTTCCAGTTTGTAGGTTCACCCAGTAGTGAAGCTGAGCATGAATCGCAGACGCCCGCCCACACACACATACAAAGGACACTGGTGCGACTGGCCGTGCAGGCTGCCACAGGGAGCACTGCCTTCAACAGCACCCACATACAGGGCTTGCATAAAGCATAAGTATATGCAGCCAAGATTCCTTCCTCCTCTTTGGCTGGTAAAGTCTGAAGCTCACTGGTGAAAGCACACACACCCCACTCTAGATTCACAAGCAAATCCATGTTCAGGGACCCTCAAATACTGACATTGCCCTTCTGGCCTCTTTTATACCACTTTCTGGCTGTTCCTCCCCAATCCCCTTCCTCTGCACATTCCTCCTGCAGTTTGTATAGTTCTACTGACCCCCTCTCCTCTGAGACCCTCAGGTTTGCATTCTAATCTGTTGCAAAGTCCAGGTTTGATTGCAGTCTCTTGATGATCTGTCAATTAGTGTGACTGACAAGATTGTTTCTTGTTACTGTCTCCATTATTTTTGTCTACCAGATTTGTCTCTCTCAGTTCTGTTTGTTGCTCCCCCCTTTACTTGTTATCCCCTTTCACATTGAAAAGGTCTTTGGTCAAATGACCTTAACAAAACAGATGCTCTCACCTTCCACTTAACCTGACACTGAAGGGATGAAATGTTTCTATATAACTGGAAGGAAATGCATCCCACTGAAACATTTAACTTCCTCTAGCTATGCTTGAGCTCTGTCCATGAGTTGCTTTGTACTGACTCTTTATCAGGCAGACAGGAGATGAATGAATTAGTGCTACATCTGGGGACACGGGGACTGAGCTGTGATCTGGTGCTTTATGCTTCCAGCACAACTCATTTCTATCAGTTGAAATGAAGTTCAGTTGTTATGAAACCCCAGTTTCCCTTTATAGCTTGCAGCTCTCCCGTGGCCTGCTCCTGATTGGGAATGAAAACCTGTTTTGTGCAAACTGGGCATGAACTGAGTTAGCCTCTTTGATTGTAGCTGTAAGAGATTAATTTGTAGTGTGAGTATGTGTGATGAGTTTCTCCCAGCTATGTTTTCTGTAACACTGAGAGTGTAACCTCCAAGTGTGACAGATTCATGCCCTGATGTCCAGACAGGAATGATTAGCTAGGGACCATTTGGGAAAAGATTACTGTCAGATGCAGATCAGTTAGTGGTATTTATATGCCTCCTTGCATATTTTAAACTTAAAGGTCTCTAGCTTGTACTGCTAAAGCAGTACGGGGATAGGAAGTCTTATTTTCCTCATGCAAAGACAGAGATTAAGTAGTGTGAAAAGGTTATATTGTCAGATTTTGTTGAAGGTTAAACCTGTCAGAGCTGAGGACTGGTCAGAGCCAGGAGCTTCAGGTACAGAAGCTGTGATTTTTGTAGTTCTCAATTGATTCCTGTAGTCATGGAGCCATTTTTCTCTGTGAGATGTCCCTCGGTGATGAAGGCAAGAGTTGTGCTGTACCAATGTCTTCTGCATTGGTACTGAAACTAAATAATTCTGATACAGTTCATTATTGACATGACAGGTAGGTGTTGGGAGAGTCTTTCAAGAAGCTGTAGAACATTAACATAATCAATCCAAGAGCTTTTGGGGGATTTGTTTTGTTTTTTGGTTGGTTGGTTGGTTTGTTTGTTTTTACCCCTTAAATGAGATCTATCATCTAAACCACTTTGGAAATCCCTGACTAGGAAATACAGACAGTCTTGTTGGGTCATCAGCTCAGTTTGCCTGCCAGGGCATAGATCAGCACTAAAATATGCACTTGTCTCTTGACACAATTACTCTACTCTGTTGAAGATGGGAGAAGCAACATAAATCATCAGTTTAAGATCACAATTAAGTATTTTTCTCTGGGAAATTGTCAGGCATCCACACAATGGATTTTGCTGCCTTCACAGCTGAATTGTGAAATTTCTTAAGTAAGAGCCATGACCTAAAGGGATAATTGTCTGGAAATGTATTTTCCCATGATAAATTGTTTTGTTAATCTCTTTTACAGATTGAAGTTGACCTTGGTAAAAAATGCTGGTATCATTCAATATTTGCCTGTCCCATTCTTCGTCAGCAAACGACAGATAATAATCCACCTATGAAATTAGTCTGTGGTCATATTATATCAAGAGATGCTTTGAATAAAATGTTTAATGGCAGCAAGTAAGTATCACTCTTTTATTTCAAGCAACACATAGATGAGGAAAAATCTTAAGGCTAGAATACTGTGTTTTGAAAAAAAATGAGTCCATAATTAGATAATTTTTGGAAGCTTGTTAATCTTAGAGAGTGACTTAGAAACCAGATAAGCTGGGTGGTGCGGTGGAGAAAGTGTAATAAGCCCTCTGATGTTGTGGAAAGTGAGTTTATGAGAAGGAATGCAATGAGCAGAGTAATTTTCCACCTTGGAAATACTGTTATGTTGTCTTAAATTCAAAATGGAGGCTTTTACACACACAGTTTTTCATTGGGATCAAGGTTAAAGTGTGAAACATCCCTTAAAAAATAAAATTAAACCTCTGGGGAAGTGTGGTGTGGTAATTGAGCAGGTAGTTGAATTATCACTGTGGAAATACTCCTCCTTGGATATCAGTGGGGTGCCTACAGGCTTTTGGGAAGGAGGAAATGGGAAGGAGAGAGCTATACAGATTTTCTTGAAGAAGAACCAGTGGTAGTTTGGATTAAACATATGCAGCTTCCATGGAGGCTGTCAGCTTAATTTAGAGCTGTAAGTTGTTTTGTGAAATCCAGTGTGAAAATAAGTGACACTATGAAGAATGAAAACATTGAGTGATGTTTGCGTTCTTTTCCTTGTTAGAAAAGCCTGAAGGTCACCCTGCATGGGTGACTTCAGCCATTTTAAGCCAGTAAACTTGCTGCTACGTGATTCCTGTCCCCGATCACTCATTCCTGATGCTTTCATTGATCAGCTTTAGTGGCAGCACAGCTCTGACAATTTTAACTTGGGGTGGGGCGGTGGTGGTGTGTGTGAAATGCTCAAGCTTAGAGATCAGTGAAAATGGATCAATGCTAGAAGAAATATTGTAAGCAGGTGGAATTGTGTTGGTGGGAACCTCAGCAGGGTCTTTAGCTGTATCCTGCAGGAGCTGATTGAAGCGGGTTGTAAAATCACAGCATTTTGGGAACCAGAGAGTAAAACGCACTGGATGCTGAGGAGGTCAAAGTGAAAGCTACCAGACTATTTAAAATGAGTAAAATCATAGAATCATAGAATGGTTTGGGTTGGAAGGGACCTTAAAGATCATCTAGTTCCAACCCCCCTGCCATCAGCAGGGACACCTTCCACTAGACCAGGTTGCTCAAAGACTCAACCAACCTGGCCTTGAACACTTCCAGGGAGGAGCAGCCACAGCTTCTCTGGGCAACTTGTTCCAGTGTCTGACCACCCTCACAGTGAAGAACTTCTTCCTAATATCTCATCTAAACCTCCCCTCTTTCAGCTTAAACCCTTTTCCCCTTGTTTTGTCATGAAACAAACTTATCCAGAAGTAGAAGTAACATATGAATCATGAAGAGTAATTTCTTGGTATTTAATAATTCAGGGGTGTGTGGGTGAAAGGTGAGAAAGAATATAATTGGAAGAAAAACCATGGTAAGGTCTCTCTCAGCTAAAGGTGATTTTTAATGGAGTGGCTTAAGAGTGCATTTCTTTCATGCCACAGGGGGGAAAAGAGGAAGGACTGTCACTGCAAACTCTATACCTCTGTAATGGATGAAAAAGCTTAATGCTCGGTTATCGCACGTTGCCGCGATTCTAATGCGTTGTCTTTGTCCCCAGATTAAAATGCCCCTATTGTCCGATGGAACAGAGCCCTGGAGATGCCAAACAGATATTTTTCTGAAGAGAAGTTTCATTATGCAGTTTGTAAGTGACACTCTGGATTTCAGGTGCATTTCAGGAGAATTAAAACACACTTGTTCCATTTTATGCAGCAGACTGAGGACTCCTATGTTTGTATAAGCTAATGCTACAGAAACTTTGCCAACATTTAGTATATACATACCAAGTGGAAATGCTACAGAAATATTATTACCATAGGGCTTTACTATACTCTTGGTCTCCATACCTGATCAAGTTACTACACCAGCAGCTGTCATTCAATGCAGGTTTTTGTACTTAATTATATGGTGACTTTTTACTTTTTAAAAGCAGAAATTGATCACCCCCATTTGTTTAATATTCTTCCTGCTATTATTATTCTATCATTTTATTGATAACTATCACGTTAGAGGATGTTTGTGGAAAAAGTTTTATTTCCTGTAATGTGTACATAATTAAAGGTAAATACTTCAGAAAAAAAAAAAAAGTTTGATAAATTGAATAGTGGTTATAAAACTAATTTGTATTTTTTTTGCTGAAAAAGCTGTGATATATTCTGAGTTTTTCTTTCAAGCATTTTTTCAACTTTTACATAGAATTCAAAGTAAATGTGCATATATATAAAGTATATAAAAATATATAGCCCCAAGGGGCTACCTGTTAAAATCCATCACTAATTTATAAGGATGGTGTGTGGCTAAATTACTACTGGAGCAGAGAGGGAGTAGGGAATCCTGTTCCTTTGGTTTCACAATCGAGAAGTGTTTGTGCAAGAGAACATTCAATAAATTCTGAAGTGGAAATGCTTTTAGTCAATGACATTTGCTCTCTGGCCTTTGTAGTCATGTTCTTTGAACTTTGTATTCAGGATTAGGCTATAAATGTCATGTTGCTGTATAGTTTAATAGTCATTATAGTGTGCTATTTATAAACAGTTATCAAAACCAAAAGAATTGTAGAAGTATTCATTGTTAATTGGGGGATAAGCATGTTCTGATGCAACCTACTGATCACAACTCTGCACTTGGCAGAACTGGGCCCTACATCGTATATTAGAAGGTAGCAAGTTTTCTGTAGCTTGAGAACACTTTGCTTCTAGCCTTGTTTTTGTAGTAGACTATTACTGCCATTGCCACTTTTTCTGCTAAATTTGTCATATCGTTGACTTAGGTAAATTTGTACTCATAAAGGAGACGTAGATCATGGCAGTTAAATCTTTTCTAGTGTGCATATATTTGTATTTATTGCACTGTCCTATAGTAGGGCAAGCAGCCATAAGGCATGCAAAGCTACATGTAAAATTATATTTCTGTATTGTGTAGTTTAAAAAAGAGGAAAACAAAGAAACCCCAGGCTTATGTGGTTGAATACTGACACACTGGTTGAATGCACTAGCACAATGCACTACAGAGAAGACCGTCTTTGAGAAATCAACACCTTTTGAATTTGTATGTCACCTGACTTGAGAGACTTGAGTTGGACTCTATTGGATCAGTGACAATGGACATCCCTAAAGACACGTTAAGAGGAGCAAAGTCAAGGCACACGACTTTTAAACCTTAAATGTGTTTGGTACATGTGAAAAATACAGGTGTGTGATTTTTTTTTCTGCAAAACTTCAATTGTATTCACACTGAGTTCAAAACAACTGCGTTACCAAGTGGTAAAATCAACAATAAACGGGTGAGGATATTATTTTCCATGTAGGTTTCCTAGTCTTGCTGAAATTGCTTTTAGTCTTTTCTTTTGAGTGGAATTGCTTAATGCTTTGGATTTATATGAAATGACATATGAAGTATTTAAAAAAAAAAAAAAAAACAACCCAAAGCAACAAAACCCCGAAAAACCACCCTGCAGTGTAAGTGCTGTATCTCTTCCCCTCTTATACTTCTGGTACTTTGGCATTGGTGTGAACACCAGTTCATGTCCATAGTGCCTCTAATGCAATTGCTTAGAGTACAGAAATGGCACAGTTCTTAAATAGGGTACAAATTCAGCTTATGTATCAGAATGTTTTAATACAAAGTGGTCCTGTTTTCCCTTTTAAATAGTACATATTGTAGATCCATAACTCATTCAAAAATTCAGCAGTTCTCACCAGATAATTGCAATTCTTTTCCCAGCTGTCTGTATGTTTATCCAGAAAGAATTGCTTGCAGTTTTGAAGCTCCACCAACAGATGATGCTAGCAGGTTAATGTAGAATACTGGTGTTGGTTGGTTGTGAAACACTTCTGCATTTTGGTTGTTACAGCTATCCAGTTTGCCCTTTGAGGTGGTGCAGGTTCTCTCCTACAACTGCCTGATGTGCTTCTGGTAACTAGAGAAAGTGCCTGCATGAAGAAAAGTGAATAATATAAAATCACATTTTAGCTCCTGATTCACATACATTTTCCCCAACAAAGCCTGGGAATATCCATAGTAAAAAAAGCACTTGATTTTAAAGCTACATCATTATCCGAGATCTGTCTTTGTCACACTTGGACCAGTTTGTGAAGCTTTTAACTAGTCCCTTTGTGCAGCAAGTGCCTTCTTATGAGACTGCTGCAGAATGAGAGTAGAGAGACTCAACACACTTATATCTGAATGGAGATCGCTGTGTCACTTCTGCCTACTGCACTGGGCTTGTGACTGTTGCTTCCCCCCTTTGCAGAATGTGTCAGAAGAGCAGCTCTGCAGCAACGAGAGCACCAGCTGGTAATGCAGATGGTCCTTAAGCCAAGAAGCCTCTACAAAGGGACCTAAACAGGCTGGATCAATGGGCTACAACCAACTGTATGGGGTTTAACAAGGCCAAGTGCCGGGTCCTGCACTTAGGTCCCAACAACCCCACGCAACACTACAGGCTTGGGGAGGAGTGGGTGGAAAGCTGCCTCGTGGAAAAGGACCTGGGGGTGTTGGTTGACAGCGGCTGAACATGAGTCAGCAGAGTGCTCAGGTGGCCAAGAAGGCCAATGACATCCTGGGCTGTGTCAGAAACAGCGTGGCCAGCAGGACCAGGGAAGTGATCCTCCCTCTGTGCTCGGCTTTGGTGAGATTGCACCTTGAATACTGTGTCCAGTTCTGGGCCCCTGACTCCAAGAAGGACATGGAGGTGCTGGAGCGTGTCCAGAGAAGGGCAACGGAGCTGGGGAAGGGTCTGGAGAACAAGTGTGATGAGTTCACAGCTGAGGGAACTGGGGTTGTTGAGCCTGGAGAGAAGGAGGCTGAGGGGAGACCTTCTCACTGTCTCCAACTCCCTGAAAGGAGGGCGTAGGGAGGCAGGAGGGTGTCTTTTGGTGTGTGTCTTTTATCCCAGGTAACCAGTGACAGAACAAGAGACAATGGCCTTCAGTTGCACCAGGGGAGGTACAGATTGGATGTCAGGAAATACTTCTTCACTGAAAGGGTTCTCAGGCACTGGGAGGGGCTGCCTGGGGAGGTGGTGGAGTCACCATCCCTAGAGGTGTTTACAAGACAGGTAGATGAGGTGCTCAGAGATCTGGTTTAGTAGTGTACAGGTACGGTTGGACTTGATAACATCAGAGATCTTTTCCAACCAGGAGATTCTATGATTCTATGAAATTTTTTACCATGCTTATATAAAAGGTTTAGCTTATAGGTGCTTCAAAAGTAATGGGTGGTTATAAATATGATTTCCATAGCAGTGGATTGTTAGTGTAATTTCTGTATCTATTAATAGGTATATTACATTAACTCTGTTAATAGAGTTTGAATTTTAGTAAATGTCTTAAATAGGACAATTGTGATATGTTCTTGTGGGGTTTCAAGTCTGACTTGTGGTATAAAACATAATCAAACCTTATCATAGAATCATAGAATGGTTTGGGTTGGAAGGGACCTTAAAGATCATCTAGTTCCAACCCCCCTGCCATCAGCAGGGACACCTTCCACTAGACCAGGTTGCTCAAAGCCTCATCCAGCCTGGCCTGGAACACTTCCAGGGAGGCGGCATCTACAACTTCCTTGGGCAACCTGTTCCAGTGTCTGACCACCCTCACAGTGAAGAACTTCTTCCTAATATCTCATCTAAACCTCCCCTCTTTCAGCTTAAACCCATTTCCCCTTGTTTTGTTATTAACTGCCCTTATGAAAAGTCCTTCCTCAGCTTTCCTGTAGCCCCTTCAGGTACTGGAAGGCCGCTATAAGATCTCCCCGGAGCCTTCTCTTTTTCAGGCTGAACAGCCCCAACTCTCTCAGCCTGTCCTCACAGCAGAGCTGCTCCAGCCCTCGCATCATCCTCGTGGCCTCCTCTGGACTTGCTCTAACTGCTCCAGGTCTCTCTTGTGTTGGGGGCTCCAGAACTGGACGCAGTACTCCAGGTGGGGCCTTATGAGAGCTGAGTAGAGGGGCAGAATCACCTCCCTCGACCTGCTGGCCACGCTTCTCTTGATGCAGCCCAGGATACAGTTGACCTTCTGGGCTGCAAGTGCACATTGTCTGCTCGTGTTCAGCTTCTCAACCTTAAAAACAGATAGTAGGAAATGAAAATAGTACATAGCATTTTTGATCTCAAAAGGTATTGACCATTTTTGAAGTACTATGACTGTCATTAACACAAAGCTCATGTCCTCACCGCCCGTTAGTACTCTGTGATCAGCTGCTCTGTGAATTATTTTTGAATTAAGTAAAGACTTTTCCTGCAGTGATGTCAGCATTACACACTGCAAGCAGACATGGCTGAACAACCAGTCTTCCCTGCTAAAAATCAGTATTTCTCTACTGAAATACTGCACTGATTTCAGTCTCCTGTCTGTAAGTCAGGTTAATTAACGTGTGTAGAAGCTGCAGTGGAAGCTCTTTGTTACAAGTAATGAGTTGGAGCTTCTGACCCCCGCTAACTTAGACCTATCTCCGTCCTCTTGTTTTCATTCTTTCTTCTTAACATTTTACAGGATAGCTGCTGCTAACATTTCAGGTTGGAGTTATTTATGACTACTTGGAGCCAGCGGGCCAGGTTTAACGCAGTAAGTTTGGGTTAGATTTTCCTTGCAAGGTTTGTTTGCCTACTGCAGGATGCTGTTTTCCTTTCTGTGCTTATCGCTGCAGAGCTTGATTTGTCTGTAGGGGGGAAAACTTGGTGCTCCTTAATCCATCTGTACTCTTGTGCTTTTTCTTGTGTGAATAGGAGACTGCAGGAAAGATACTTTAAGAACAAGAAAAAAAAAGAAAGAGATTGGCAGCAATGATCTGTAGTGAATAAAGCTGTAACCTAGTGTTACTTTACTGTTCTGAATTGAATTCAAGCCCTAATACGTAGAAAGGAATAGTGGTTTACAAAAATGTTTTGTCTTTCTTTTTAAGTGGCAGGTTATCACAGTGGGTTTTCCTTTACTTTGGCTAAAGAAACAAAGGGATGGGGAAGATGCAGATAGTGAGTCAGTTCAAGTGTCAAGCATCATCCATGAGACATTTGCTTGTGGGGGGAGGAACTAAATATACAAACACAGCTATTTTGTCTGACCGTTTTTTCCACCTCAGAACTGAGAGTAAATTTCAGTATTTCCCAGGGTTTCTAAACTACACAGGAGGTTTCCAAGATCATGGAGCACAAGCAGATGTGGTGGGTCTCTCATGACAAAAATTGTATGTATTCAATTTATTCAGCTCAGCTCAGGATGGGAATCCAGTGATGGATAGGTTCGTGCTGACCCTGCATGTCAAATAGATTTGATTTCAGATGAATCAGGAGGAAACCTAGTTACAGGAAGGCCATATTTCACTTTCTTTGCCGTTCTTCCAGAGATTTCTGTAATTCAGAGATTTCTGTAATTCAGAGATTTCTGTAATTCAGAGATTTCTGTAATTCTTTCCTTGCTTTATTCTGCCTTTCTTGTCTTGAATGCTGCAGCAACAGCAGCAGAGGTGTGCTTTCTGTGGGGTGGCTTTTAATCACTTGCACAACGTGCACCACAGCATTAGTTTGAGGAGCCTGGGTTGAGCTTAAGTGCCTTTGATGTGACAGGTCATCTGCCAAATACAAGCTTGGACAAAGTGACTTTAACTGACCATTCTGGTTACAGCCTCTTCTGGAGTCATCTTGGCCATTTTATTTGACAGGTCATCTGCCAAATACAAGCTTGGACAGACAAAGTGACTTTAGCTGACCAGTCTGGTTACGGCCTCTTCTGGAGTCATCTTGGCCATTTTATTTATCTGGAACTTATTTAACTCATTAAAATCCTTTATCACTCAGGAAATACTTCAGCGTAAGTGAAGCACTGGATGAGGGAGAAGCAGGTGTCTAAGAAAGGCAACAAATTCTGGCTGCTCTCTGTTGTGGGAACATCTAATGCCTCCCTCAGCTTCATAGAGTTTTAAGTGACCATCTCATACCCTTTTTTATTTTTTCAGTTGAGGTTATGCTTAAATTGTAAATCAGCTCTTACTCTTCCCACCATTAACTCCTAGGTTTGTCTTTAGCCCATCAGCTTCTGAGCTACTCCACTAGTACTTTTGACTGACTGCTCTTTGGTAACCCTCAACCTCTGAACAAATTTATTCCTTCTGCTTCTCTTTGAAAATCATTCCGTATCTCAGACTCTTGTTTACTTTGTATTAACCCATAACAGCTCCCAGCTTTTGCCCCTGCACCCAGTGCATTCGCCTCACTGTCACACTTAGAAACTCCTCCATGTACTATTAGCAAAAAGCTGCCAGATCTGTAGGGCCTGTCCAACAACAGCTTCCTGCGTGGAGGAACAAGC